GCTCCTTTATAGCACAGCAGCCCAAACTGCCGTGCTTTCCATTGCAGTGCGACTTGGGTTGCGACTTAATGACCGAGGACAAATGTGGGTCCTGAGGTTACGCAGGCTAGGACAGCATATCTGAACTGGAAAGTGAGCTGAATTGGTGAATTTTTCGAAATCAGCTATGCTGTCCTAGATTGTTCACTTCTCCTGCCCTCTCCAAACTCTTCACCCTATTGTGAATAGCCCCGTATATGTTCTCTGGAGTAGTATACTATACATACTGTCATGAAGTGAATTGCTACCCCCTTTAAATTTGGGTTTTCTTCTGCTTTCTATTGACTATGCAGGTTTACTAGACACGCTCAGTGGAGAAATGTTCTGCCTAGTCAGACCCCTTGTCAGATCCAGATGTCAATAGTGTGCTGGAATTACATGATGTCACTAGTTGGCTGAGCTAGAAACAGAAGTATTGTACAGTGCCCAGTGTCAGACAAGCTAAACAATATATGTTTTTTTTTTTTAAAAGGCATATCTATTTTTTTGTATACTTTTTTCCGGGGGCCTTCTCTTTTTTGTTCTCTTCTTCTCCAGAGCTGGATGGTTCTGAATGTTGCAAAGAAGGGCAATGACATAATGACATCAATGCTATTGTCTGTAGAATTGTACTGTGAGTTCAGTGTGCTGTGATGATGCATGGAGGGGTTAGGCCCCATTCACACTGCGCGATTCGCAGATCGCGCATGTGTCGCGCAATTTGCATTTTGCGCGATATCGCGCAAATGCTTGCATTGAGCAAGCTTGAATCGCGGCTAAATCCGCTCCAAAAAGGGTCCTGCTGTAGTGACACACGACCCGCGACAGCAGGACCCTTTGCCCCATTGAGAAGCATTGGAGAGCGATATCGTGCGGTAAATTGCCGTGATATCGCGGGAATTACCGCGCGATAAATCGCTCAATGTGAACGGGTCCTTATGTCCATGGCACTCAGAGCTCACAGAAAGTGCAGTTTTTTTTAGCTGCCTTTTTCGTTTTAGACAGAGCTGGAAAATTATTTTAAAAAGTTTTACTGAGTCTGGGCTTTAAAAAATAATGTAATAATAAATAATTTAGGAAATGATGCTGTACTAGTATTTAAATTGTAAAACAAAATGGATACCAAAAAGATTTTATGTATTCACAAAAGATCATTCTAAAATGGTGCGCAAAGATAAATTTAGATCTAAGCTGCAGCTTTACTGTCAGTCTTGCAGATTTGTACAGGTTCCTCCCCTGCACTCAAATTGCTTATTCTAATTTCACTATGCACTTTGAGCTTCTCACAGTGTGCATTAGAAGTGGATGCAAGTCAAATAAAGCCTGCCTCGTTTTCCGGATGGTGGACGTCCAGTTTTATCTACTTCTTGTCTCCTCAGCCTTAGGCCTCATTCACACGAGAAAAAGCCGGCACGTACAGCTCCATGCTGCGTGCAATGCCATATCGGGCAGCTCCCGGGAAGGACAGGTGCTGCGTGTGATTAGTACGCAGCCCCTGTCCTTCTCTATGGGAGTACACGGCCATACACCGCCCTACGCTCACCCGCCCTGCACGTCCGTGCGGGTGTACGTACTCATACGTCCGTGTTGGGACAACTGCACCCATACAGACCTGCACTTGGGGTGAGCGTAGGGTGGCGTATGGCCGCGTACTCCCATAGAGAAGGACATGGGCTGCGTACTAATCACACGCAGCACCTGTCCTTCCCGGGAGCTGCCCGATGCGGCCGTGCACGCAGCACGGAGCTCTACGTGCCGGCTTTTTCTTGTGTGAATGAGGCCTTACTGTTCCTGGCCTGCCCCTGTCATTTATCAGATTTTGTTTCTTTTAACCATTTCTCAGCATCACATGTTGGTGTTACCTAGAAAAATCTACATGTGAGTGCAGCCTGCCCAGGAATGCCCACTGCTCCAGACTGATATTCACCCATCAAGGCACTTTGATGTTTGCACAACTTCACCCAAGAACCAGCTCACTGTTTGCATTAGGGCTGAGGGATTCTGAGAGGAGTACTGAGGAATGGTGCTATGATGTGTTTAGAAAGTTATGTACAATAACCTGCTGTCTGCTACTACCAGCCATGATCTCCCTGCATTCCATAGTCAAGCAAGAACAGTCACTAAAAAGTGAAAACAAAATCTAAAATGAGGGTTTTAATGTAAACGGAAAGGTTTTATTTAAAAATGTAAAAAGTGTGTTAATGGGGGGGCAAGGGAAGACAAAATATAAGCAGATTAAAGTTCAGGTTAAAATAGGTTGTTATGTACAGTATAGTGAGAGCTTTCTCTTTTCAAAATAAAAAATAGATACATTTGAGCAAGGTAATAATAAATAAGATATTCACTATAATCCCTGGAGAAGGCCTAAATAACTGTCAAAATATGAAATTATCTCAGTAATGTTTTTAAATGAATTACAGTTTCTAGTTTACTAATATATCTACTACTGCATTAGTAAATCAAAGAATGTATAGTGGTCTGGGTCCCTCTAGTGGACCAAAAAATGAAACAGGGCAATCCGCCCCCCGAGATAGAGCCGCTCTCACCCGCAGTACCATACCAGTGACAGGAGTACATCCCCGCACACGGCCGGGACATACAGCTGTCAAGCTGTCACAGAGTTAACTGCGGTTCAGTGTAAAAAAACGGCACAGTACAAGTAATATGCCGGATTTTTACACTGAACCGCAGTTAACTCTGTGACAGCTGTATGTCCTGGCCGTGTGCGAGGATCATAGGCAGGGCTTGAAAAATCCACTCGTCCGCTCATCTGTGACGAGAGGACGTGGAGCCTGACGAGCAGCTGGTGGGGTTAGGGTTTGGGGTTAGGCCTTTTCCCCATAGTTCTCCTAAGGGTAACGGGAGGGCACAAACTAGCGTCCTCCCGTCACCCAAAGCTCAGGATCTTGCGGTATACTGAGACGCCGCAGCTGAAGCGGATCCCGACAATTATGTCTGGATTCACCCAGCTGCATGAGTGACAGCTGGCTCTGCCTATCTAGAGGCAGAGCCAGCTGTACCCGCCCCCTCCCCCGTCCGTTCCGCCAGTCCGCCTGGCGGATTGGAGTGGGGAGGGGGGAATCCAGTCCCTCCCCTCTCACGGCTCTGTGCAGTGACAGGATGGAGAAGTGAGCGAGCGCCGGTATGTGTTCGCTCATTTCCTGATCTACTGAGCCGACCTGTGACAGTTTCATTGTCGAAAGTCGGCAAGAACTATGAGGATGAGTGAAGATCACTCACCTCAAAGTTCGCCTTTAAAGAATTATAAAAAAAAAATAAAGAAGCATAAAAAAAAATTAAAAAAGAAAACATTTTTCCCCACACATACACAACATTACTGACCTCAGCACTCTGCATTTATTATTATCGCTCCCTCCGCCCCTCTGCTGGGCCCGGCCGGCCGCCCTGAACAATCGGGACCCAAAGCAGAGGCTGCACTGCAGTCAGGCAAATTAGGCGGCCGTCTCGGCCCACACAGGGGCTTTGCAGCTGCCTAATTTGTTTGAGTACAGACCACCCAGAGAGGAGAGGCCAGGTGAGTGTGTTGTAGCCCGGGAAGAGGGGGAGAGCCTGGGGGCAGTGGACACATAGGCAGTGAGAGAGGAAAGGGGTGGCACAGTAGCAGTGGAAGAGCCAGATGGGGGGGCTTATTTTCTGGCAGTATATCACCCCCCCCCCCTGAGACTGGACTCTGGATCCGCCCCTGCTCCTGACCCTCCTGTATAAGGACATAGTTAATGAGAATGCAGTAAAGTGAGGATGCAGGAAGGGGGTAAATAGTAAACAGGGACACAGTGTAGACAGACACAGTAAGAGCTTGTTCACACCAGATGTATTTGGATGCATTTTGAAAGCATGCACAATAAAATCAATGGTTTCTAATCACCCACACCATTGCATTCAGATCCAGTGCTTTAAATAAAAAGTACAGCAGCATGCATTTCATTGCACTGGAAAGTGCATAAACGCATCATGCATAAATGTAAGTGATGAAGAAAAAAAAGCTTTTCTAATTGGTCTGTGATTTTTTTGTAGAGAAGGGAAAAAAATACATTGCCAAAAAAACCACACTGCAACGCATTACAAGCACATGTAAACACACACTGAACATGGGTGATTGCACTGTGAGCAAGCTCCAACTAAGAACATAGTAAAAGTAGTAGAGATATAGTAAATTCATAGTGAAAGGAGACCCCCGGAGGTCAGAGTATAGAAAAGAACAATAAACAAGCACACAGTAAATGGAAAAACATCTTGCTATAAGGGCCTGTTTCCACCATAGCGCTGTGTTAAATGCACAAAACTATGCAACAACGCACCTAGCATGTGGTACTGTGCACTAGGTGCATTGCGTTGCCATTCATTTAAATAGCACCTCCTGGAGGCTGTGCATTACAACACATTGTAATGTGCGGTACCACAACACCATGCATTGCACTGGAAAAAAAGTAGTTCATGCTCTATTTTTTTTGTTTAGGGGTGCCATTTAAATAAATGGCAATGCAACACACCTGGCACACTGTACCGCATGCTAGGTGCGTTGAGCAATAGCGTGCACAAAACACACAGGGGGGGAATTATCAAAACTGGAGCAGACAGAATCAGGACCAGTTGCCAAGAGTAACCAATTAGCTTTTCACTTTCATTTTTAAAGCTGAACTGAACAAACTGAAGAGAGAAGCTAATTGGGTACTATAAGCAACTGCTCCACATTCTATCTGCTTCAGTTTTGATAAATTGTCCCCACAGTATCGTGCATTAAGTGCAGTGCTATGGTATGAACGGGCCCTCGGTCATGTAACAATGGCTACATCAAGCTGTGCAGAACAGCACATTTTGAAAATGACAATTCATCGCACACTAGTAAATAACAGGAAAATCACGTGTCGCTATTTCTATGGTAACAGCAGACACTGAAACTAGCATCTGACTGCATCAAAGCGCGACAGCACACTGCGCATGCGTGCTCTTTTCCGTGTCTGATGACGTCATGAGAGGTGGCTGAAGTTGTTCCTGACCATGGCGGGGCTAGGGGATTGTGAGTTTCTAGTTCAGAGAGCCCGGGAGCTGGTACAGGACGATACGTGTGCGGCACGAGCCTGGCTTATCACCGCCCGCACTCTCTACCCACAGGACTTCAACATCCAGGTTTGCTGCATCCACTGTGCTCACGTGATCCTGCTGAGGTGTATTCATTGACGTGATAAGACCATGCACAGCTCTACTAACGTGCCACACACTTGGCCAGTTTTTGTTATTATTGACAAAGGCAATGGAATGAAGGAGGACAACGTTCTAACATATGTGTCATGGAATTATGTATATATACTAATGTCAAAAGCTTCCTAACAGTGGCGCTGTCACTAGATTAACCACTCGATGACTGACATGTTACAACCCCTTCCTTTTCTGTCCTGTCCAGGTCATTTTACAGAATTAATTGCTGTGATGTTTTCACAATCATTCGGTTGATTCATGCAATGCTGTGCCCAAATAAATGTAAAATAGTTTTTTCGACCGAGCATTCTTCTGGAGTTTTTTTTTTTTTTTTTTTTAGTATATAAAGGAAGACATAAAAACCCATTTTACTTACTCCTCTGTTATAAAACATATTAGATATATATACAAAAACCTCCCAAATCACCCCTGTTTGGAAAGCAGACACCCCAAAGTAATCTCACTTATGGCCACATGTTTTTGGAAATGAAGAACCATGCTGGCATGGAGGGGGTTAAAAGACAAAGCTTGCTAACAGTGCACTAGATGCATTATTGTACAGATCATACAACGCGGGTGGAAGAGGGGGTGATGAAAAAGTGAATAGGTCACATACAGTGGGAGGTTGAAGAGGTAGATCTGCAGAATACAACCGGTGAGGGGGTTAATATATGGGTCAGAGATAGGATGGAGCAGAGATATACTGTAGATGGGTAATACACAGGTCACTGCAGATACAAGGTGGAGCTGACATATACTGTAGAAAGGCTAATGCGCAGGATGGAGCTGACATAAACAGGGGGTGACAGGGTTTAAAAAGATCCAAAACCTTTATTATCTGTGGCTTGTTTTCATCGGGTACTAAGGGATGAATTATTCATTCATTGGTACCTCCTCTCACCCCTTTCTCCGTTGTAAGAGGAGGGGGAGGGTTCACCCGTGTAAACATTGCCATGTGATCACCTGGTAGTGGTGCCATCCATCTGTATAATTATGATGTGTGGGCAGCAAGTGGTCTTACCTGCACAGAAAAGAATGAATACCCTTTCTGCCACCTGCACCCCCAGTCTTCACTGTATTGTGACATAAGTTTGCTGAATAACTATGCGAGTTGTCAGAATTCTCCACAGTTAAGCTGATCATAGTCTGAGTCCTGCCAACATTCAAGCAGCGTGCGGCCCTGTCAGCGTAACTCCATTGCACTAAAGTCAATTTCATGTGACCAGTGTTTTAACTCCTGGTCATCCTTGAATACTTTATCTAAAGGCAATTATAAATTAGTCAAACTACTTCTGCTTGCTTTAAAGAAGAAAACTGTTATTAACCCTTGCAGTTGGGCTACCCCCACACTGGTAAGGTTAACTGCTCATTTTGGCCTAGGGAGGAAAATAACAACGATATACTCATCCGATCCTTGGACCCGGCAGGCTTCTCCTCTCTTCTCCTACGCTCAAGCAATGTTATGACCCCCAGCGTCCTCATGTCCCATACACTGTGTATAGAACGTGATGACTAGGGGACCTTAGACTGCTGCAGCGGAGGGGCAGGGCAAGCCGGCTCCGATGATCGGCTCAGTATAACTTTTTTGTTTTCCTCCCTAGACCAAAACTAGCAGTTAACCCTTGCAGTGATAGCCCCATTGTAAGGGTTAACCACTTGCTGACCGGGGTGTTAAACCCCCTTCCCGTCCAGGCCATTTTTCAGTATTCAGCGCTGCGGTACTTTGACTGACATTTATTCCGTCATGCAACGCTGTACTGAAATAATTTTTATACCATTTTTTGGGGACAGGTAGAGCTTTCATTTTGGTGGTATTTAATCACCACTGGGGGGGTTTTATTTTTTACTATATGAAGGAAAAATTACCGTAAATTTAGAAAAAAAAAAATTAAATTATAAAACATTTAATAATGCCTAATTTATTTGGTAAAATATAAAACACTGAGTCACGTTGGGTAAATAGACACCAAACATGCCAAGTGTTAAAATTGCACACGCCTGCGAAACCTTGTGACCCTTTACAAGCTTTTACCGCTCATCAGTTTAGTGTTATCAGTGATTGATGGCCCTAAAAATTGTTGCTCACACTCCGATATTCGCGGCGATATGTAACATGTGTACCGCAATTGTCGCGTTGGCACACCCGACGCGTATTTACATTTATATATGCGTATAAGTGGGGATGGGGGACCTAAAGTTTTTTGTTTTTTTTTACATTTCTTTATATGTGACTTTTATTTTTTTACACTTAATGTTACTGCTATTACATAGGGGGATTGTTATTCCCCTATGTGATAGCACAGGCACACTGACAGGTCCTCTTTATGGAGACATTGGGGGTCTCTAAGGCTGCGTTCACACGCTCGTTTTTTTCGCGTTTGTGTTCAGTGAAACGGGCGTTTCACTGGCGGTATGATTTTTTTTTTCCTTTTTATTTTCTCTATTTAAAAAAAAATACGTTTTTTTTTTTTTTTAGTTTTACTTTTGAACTTTCCGCCCCCCTGCAACACGGCCGCTCGCAAGGGGCGGAAGTCGGCAGCCGCCGAAGACACAGCGGGGATTGCGGACAAGGTAAGACCGGTACGATGTATTCCCGAGTATGGCTCGGGGTTACCGCTTTGTTAACCCCGATCCACACTCGGGAATACCAATGGAAACGCGCGGCAAATGCCCCAAAGAAGCTCCTGTACTTCTTTGGGCGTAGGGCGTTTTGCAGCACGTTCCTATGCGTACCTACATTGGCTTTCACATGTTGAGCGTTTTACAGCACGTTGGAATGCGCTGTAAAACGCCCAGGTGTGAACGAGGCCTAAGAGATCTGCTTCATCAGCTTCTTCTCTCTGGCTACAGCTGCCAGAAGAATGACAGCTGAATGCGGAGGTAATGTAATACACATCACTTCCGCATTCAGACGTCGGAGGGAGATCAGCAAGGAGCAAGATGCTGATCTACCTCTTATCTACCTTTTACAAGCGATCGGACGGCTATGGAGTCGCTAACCGCTTGTATGTGTTACAGCCGGAAACGGCTGTACAGATTGGCAGCGGGATTCTGCTCGCACACGCCCAGAAAAAAAAATGATGTACATTTACGTGACCCCGCCGGGAAGTATCCTCCGTCTGTCCTTCATTTTACAATGGGCTGACGGCAAGGGGTTAATAAAAGTTTTGCCCGGAGTTCTGCTTTAAAAAGCATATCTGTCATTATTTCTTTGTGTGTAGCATTTATTACTGTAATGTAATCTTGTTGAATTGCAATTTTTTTTTTACAGTATGAAATGTACAATATTGAAAGAAATGCGGAACGCACTGCCTCAGCCGGAAGACTGTTGTATGACATGTGAGTTGTTTCTAACCATATGAGGAGTGTTCATTGTAATTCAGTATCTATAAACCTTTCCTTTTCATTGTATTTATAAATCAATGCATTTGGTCTTTGATCTGTAGAGTCCCTTTCAGTGATGCTTACCTTATGGAGATATAAAAGCAAGGCCCACTGTTCAGTGAGCTGCATACTTGTTCTGTGTTTGTGGCACAACATTTAACATAGTACTGCATTCTGGAAGTTTCTCCTTTTTAAATGTGTGAAGGAACAGGTGATGGGAAATGCTCAAAATAAAATGTTAACTAATCGTTTATTTCACCAGAAGCAACACAAAAAATGTCAAACTACTTTTTTTTTTAATAAGTAAGATTCTATAACTGACTGGAAACCGCTCGTGAGAGAAACCCTGAAGCTGCTACTGCCATATCCTGAAAATACAACTTTCCTAGCTGCCTGACTTTTGTGCTTTGTCGCTAACCAGATACAGATATTCATATCCGTACTAACTTTGTTTGCTGCATACGTATTCTTTGCCTGTTACTGAGAAAGTATGGAAGACATCCAGGCAATTCTAATTTTCAGCAGACAATTGGCAGTGGCAGCCTGTGTAGTGTTTAGGTTTTTATTATACCTTGCAGTGCCACCATTGCCTATGTCATTTTCTACAGCGTTCTATAATACTCATATTAGCATTCCTATTCCTGTATTGTCTTTTCTTGAGCTATCTGATAGAAACTGCACTCCTTTTTGTTCTTTTCAAGGTTTGTAAACTTCAGTGACCAGGCAGTAGTTTGGAGGGAAATTGGTGTGATAACAGCTGCTCTCCGGAATGACTCGCAGGATAAGCAAACACAGTTTTTAAGAGGTATGAGACAAGATGCATGATGCAAGTTCAGTAGTGGTCAATTCTGTCGATGGTGACTCTAAACTACAGCTCTCATGGGAGAAATAGCTGGGCATGTAGACGAATATGGGACATTTTTGTTTCCACTCCTGCAGCTTGGAAGAGACACCTGCCTGTTCAAGTGTGCTGCTGGAGACTGCGGGATGGGGTAAGGAGACATAGCAAGGTCTTGGCCCTACTTAGTGTGCCTGCATGCTGATACTCTTCCTCGATTTGATATGCTGTAAGGTGGGCCCCTAAAACCCCTTGTGAGATGTGAGGCCGCACATGTTGCAGCAGATGCCGATGGAGAATCTTGTGGGGGGGGGTTGGATGGAAAGAGAGGAATGTACAGCTTAACCCTTTCGCTACCATGTATGTCATATGTCGACAGCACCGGGCCCCTTTAAACGGATGTTTGCGGCTATAGTCTGTTTACCTGAGTAAAGCTTTAGTTTTACACTGGAAGCGATTCTGGCATCTGTTAAGTGACCTGTTTGCTTCCAGGGGTCGGTAGACATGTGCCCCCTCGCCTTGCTTCCTGGGCTCTGCTGCTCCTCCTCCGGGCCCGGCAGCAGCATCACGAGTGGTAGAGGGGAGAGAGACCAGCGAATGTCCATTCGCTGATCTCCTCCAGGCTGAATGAGCATGATTTAATCACTTCCAGTTTCAATATGTGCTTGATCAGCTTCAGTAGGCTGCAAAGGTGACATAAGGTCACCTTAAAGAGCACCTGTCACCACTAAAATGCTATTCCCCCCCATGTGAAACCAATGAAGTTAATTTAAAAAAAATGTTTAAAGTTAACTAAAATACATTTAAAAACAAAAGGATTTTTTTTAAAATCTTCCCCTGTCCTTGCATAATGCACATACTAACAGAGACATGCATCGGGGAGTCTATATACAAAACGACAAGTGCAACACACGTTAGGTTTAGCCACGTACATCAAGAGTGAGAGCAATAATTCTAGGGCCAATACTGGCGGTTAACTCTAAACTGATGACCTGTACAGGCTTTTAAAGCATCACCTATGGACAATTTGGGGTACGGTATTTTGTTGCCGTTTATCATCATTATTTTACAAAAGAATTGGGTATTATTTTGTGTTTTTGGGCATTAAAAGTAACTTAAGTGTATCTTTTACTGAAATTTGGGTTTGATAAAGAGTTGCATAAACATTTTATTCTACAGGGTCTCTGCTTTTAAGAAATATCTCATTCTAAAATGTAGAGGTGCACCGAAATGGAAATGTCAAAACCGTAACGAAACGAAACCGTAATAAAAAAAATTGTCAGCTCGAAACTGAAAATGTTTTTATTTACATTTTTTCAAATATTTTATTTTTATTTATTTTTTATAAACATTTTAATATTTTAATATTTATTTTTATATATTTAGTCATTTTTTAAATTAAATATTTTTTACTTTACTTTTAAGGGCTTCGGGGAACTATTGGGAGTCTGAACAGACCCCTGATATTTCCCTTTTAGAATAGAAAAAGAGATTGAGGACAAAAAGTCCTTAATCTCTTTTTTTGCAGCCCCTGTTATCAATGAACAGGAATCCTCTGAGTGATCCTGTTCATTCATAACTTGAGGACATAGTATGTTTACTATAACTACAACTATGAATGAACAGGAGGGGATATAGATCACTTCACATTCATTCATAATTGAGGATACATTAACCATACCATGTCCTCAATTATCTACAAACACTCAGCGATTACTGATCACCGAGTGTTTGTACCACTCTCCTTCCTGACAGCTGTCACAGGACGCTAAGCGAGCGGTGCAGGGAGGAGAGCTCATCCTCCTGTGACAGCGCGGGCTGTCTCTGCCCACACACCGCTCTGCCGGACTGTGATAGGAGGCTGAGTGGTGTGGGAGGAGAGACGCCAGCCGCTCACAGCGCTTTCCTCCCGCAGCGCTCGGCCGGCTGTCACTTTCTCTCCTCCCCCGCTGGGACACAGAGCAGCGCGGGAGGAAAGAAAGCAGGGATGCACCGATGTATCGGCACAAAAATGGCACTTTAGGCATTTAGCCAAAAATGCATTTTTCGGCCGATATTTTTCGGTGCATCCCTAGTAAAATGTGGATTATAACATCTGCAAAAAAAAACTGCTCTGGCAGCAAAAGGGTTAAAGGCATCTCCCAAGAATGTAATTGAAAGTATTGGTGGTTTTGCCCATGTCCCCCACATAACAAGCGGGAACCATCCTCCACTGAACAGTATTTCTTTTTAATATTTTTGTTGTATTGTTACATGTCTTCTATGACAGTGCCAAGCTCCACGTACCCTCTGTTTGATAAGCCCTTGCCTATTAATGTTGAAAATGGCTAGAAAATGGTTTTCAAGGTTTTCCCCCTAAAGACTTCAATTGGACGCAAGTTTGCAGTTTTCATTGGTAATTTTTGACAAATGGATGTGTACCGAACCCAAGTGCTTATCTCTGATTTTTTTTTTTAGGTATAATATGGTATGTAATAAACCTATGGTTAGTATTATAGGGGTGGGTCCATAACTTCAAGAATGTGTGTATTCTTTTGTTTGGTCAGTCAGGCTGGTAAGTAGACTAAATCTATGAGGTGAAAAATTAATTCCACTTATGGATAATTATATTCTAGTTAAAGACTGAATATTGAATAAGAATTGCCCACATATAGCACGCAACAGAGTTGCTTATGTTGTGATTACTTTTTCCAGGTCTGTTTGAAGCCCTCCCGGGCCGGGTGCAGTGTGAGATGTTACTTAAAGCCACAGAACAATGTTTTAATACACTGGAACGGGCAGAAATGCTGCTGCTCTTGCTGAGGCGGTTCCCAGAGACTGTTGTACAACATGGGGTATAGACATTGGTTTTCCTGTAAGCTACTATAGCTATTTTTGTGCTTCCAGTATGCAAAAATGTATTTTTCTTTTTATTCTCAGGTTAGCTTGGGTGAGACACTTCTAGAAGCTGAGAGCCTTGAGGACCAGGAATCGCCTGTAAACTGCTTTAGAAAGCTGTTCGGTGAGTGTAGCAGTCTTTGACTGGATACTGCTTTCCATCTGCATCAGCGCTTATTGTATACTTACACAAATGAAATTGTAAAACATGTTTTCCAAACCAAGAATCTTGTATCATTTTGTAACAATGTAACATTTTTACTTTACTGGAGAAGTCAAACTGAAGTAACCCTTGGGCCCGTGTTACATTAGCGATCCTGAAAAGAAATAGACACCGGCACTCCAATAGTAAATCGATTACGTCTATTTATTGAGGTACATCAAAAGCAAAATAACACACTTAGTGCTTGGCACTAAGTGTGTTATTTTGCTTTTGATGTACCTCAATAAATAGACGTAATCGATTTACTATTGGAGTGCCGGTGTCTATTTCTTTTCTGCATTACTTTGACGGTGGCCATCCGTCGACTACTGAGCACCCAGGATACTTTGTTGGACGTGCGGTCAGGAGTGCAATGGGTACATGGACTGTAATCTCACATTAGCGATCCTGTCACTGATGACAGCTCACCATTGACAATATCAATAGAGAGGGAAAAACAAAAATGCCCTCTTTAGCCATCCTGTCACTGATGTGTCTTTTCCAGTGACAGTATAGCTAGTGTGACATGGGCCATAGTATACTTGTCTTCAGTAATCAGATATCTGTGGTTTTCAACATTATTTTGTGCAGGTTGCACCTCTTGCAGGACTTCCCTCCCTATCGCTTCATGCCCCAGATTTTGCAGTGGGTGCAGATGGAGAATCTTGTGGAGGGGGTGGGAAGAGGTGGAAAAGGAGTGCATGCCTTTTGATTCCGACCGGTATCATTGAAGTGTTGCCAAGCTCATGTTTCCTTATGCATGTGGTACCCAAATGGCTGGTAATTTTATCATGGCCTGCACCATATAAGTTGTGGTAAAAGTACTAATTGTGCTGTTGGCAGCAGATACGTTAAAAAAAGCCCACTCCATGTTATTGTACAACCCTCTTTTTTACACCAAATGTTGTATGTGTAAATCTCTGTTTATTTGTAACAATAAAAAACAATTGAACAGAAAAAAAGCCCACACTGCAGATCGCTTTGTTTGCTGCTGCAAAAAAGAAAAAAACATTTTGGGTCCAAGGATTGCACAAATGTGTGGGGACAAATGGAAAGCCAGTATGAAATATGATTACTGTAAGTCTCTGAAGAATTGTCTTTGAATGTTGAAATGTGTTTGTATCGCTTTACCATGGTTCTTTATGTGACCACTATCTTATATTCTAAAATGGAATCTGCACATGGCTACTTTAGTAAGGTGTAGTGCGCCTCACCCACATACACACTCCCAACAAGTTTCCAGTTGTGATGGAACACCACCATATTTACCAACAGATGTTCTGTATCTAAGGGGTGCGTGATTGAAATGAATGTATTTCCATATTTCTTGATGAAATAATAGCGATCAGGCAACATTTGAAACTGTCGTTCTCTTTTTACATCATTGTCTGTAATCTTCTTTGATAGTTTGTGATGTTCTGCCGCTTATTATAAACAACTTGGATGTTCGCTTGCCCGCCAGCCTGCTCTACAAGTACCTCAACAAAGCTGCCGAATTTTATATCAACTATGTGACACGATCTCCTCAGAATGACAGTCAACAACAAGGTTGGAATCAATTTGTATCATTACCATATTTCTCTGTGATGTGAAACATTTTGGAAAGTAATAACAAGCACTTGCTAGCTCTTGGATGAAAATACATATACTGGTATAGTGTCACACATGATGCTGAGATTCATTGAATGGTTCGGTATCAGTCTGTGAGCAGTTGATTACTGTCATTTGTCTGCTTGGACTGTAAATATTACACTAACAGCACACAACTAATACTTCTAGAATATGAATGATGCTTTCCTTTTAAAACCATCCAAAATGATAATTTGTTTTTCACTGACTCCAGAGGGTTAAATTATGCACCACTTTCTTCTACATCTCTGATCGTAGGGTAGATGATGTCACTTAGTCTGCATCACGGCTCTGGCCATTATACAACTTGTTCTCTGTGCCAATCAGAGGTTCCAAGTTGCCCCTGCATTTTTCCATATTTTTTTTTTTTTTAAATACATGTCATATAGGTTATTCGCACCTCTGCAGTTTTGAGCGTTAAGACTCACATCACCGTGTATTACTTTGTGACGTACAGTAATGTGCAATTTAATGTTTATTGCAACAGGCAAAAAAAATACAGTGCATTGTGCTTTTACATACACTATATTGCCAAAAGTATTGGGACTCCTGCCTTTAAATGCACATGAACTTTAATGGCATCCCAGTCTTAGTCCGTAGGGTTCAATATTGAGTTGGCCCACCCTTTGCCACTATAACAGCTTCAACTCTTCTGGGAAGGCGTCCACAAGGTTTAGGAGTGTGTCTATGGGAATGTTTGACCATTCTTCCAGAAGCACATTTGTGAGGTCAGGTACTGATGTTGGAGGAGAAGGCCTGGCTCGCAGTCTCCGCTCTAATTCATCCCAAAGGTGTTCTATCGGGTTGAGGTCAGGACTTTGTGCAGGCGAGTCAAGTTCCTCGACCCCAAACTCGCTCATCCATGTGTTTTATGGACCTTGCCTCGTGCACTGGTGCGTAGTCATGTTGGAACCAGGAAGGGGCCATCCCCAACTGTTCCCACAATGTTGGGAGCATGAAATTGTCCAAAGTGTCTTGGTATGCTGATGCCTTAAGAGTTCCCTTCAGTGGAACTAAGGGGGGCCAAGTCCAACCCCTGAAAAACAACCCCACACTATAATCCCCCCTCCACCAAACATTACACTTGGCACAATGCAGTCAGGCAAGTACGGTTCTCCTGGCAACTGCCAAACCCAGACACGTCCATCGGATTGCCAGATAGAGAAGCGTGATTCGTCACCCCAGAGAACACATCTCCACTTCTCTAGAGTCCAGTGGCGGCGTACTTCACACCACTGCATCCAGCGCTTTGCATTGCACTTGGTGATGTAAGGCTTGGATGCAGCTGCTTGGCCATGGAAACCCATTCCATGAAGCGCACTACACACTGTTGTTCAAATCTGAAGGCCAAGGTTGGAGGTTTGTAGCTATTGACTCTGTAGACAGTTGGCGACTTCTGCACACTGCACTGACCCCGTTCTGTCCTTTTATGTGGCCTACCACTTTGTGGCTGAGTTGCTGTTGTTCCCAGTTGCTTCCACTTTGTTATAATACTACTAACAGTTGACTGTGCAATATTTAGTATAGGGATGCACCGATACCAGTTCAGATACCAGTGCCGATACTTGGCTTTTTCATGAGAACTACCAGGGTTGCAGCTGGAACCTGGCTCTGGCGCTCCACCACTGTCCTGAAATCATATTGATATTGTTTTAGAAAAACTGTCACATGACAATAAACACAAATGTATCAGTATTTGTGTCTGTAAGTACTTGGGCAAGTACCAGTACTTGCAAAAATGGTATCGGTGCATCCCTTATATATATTTATAAAAACAAAATAATACATTAAAACAGAGATGTACAAATCCCAGGAGCCCCGTGTGCTCCTTACAAATGGCATCCGTCTCCTAACTTTTGAATTTTTCTCTAGTCTAGTCTTGGAGCTGGAAAAGTATCAGTACTTGTACCGAGTACGATACTTGGTATCAGTGCATCCCTAATTTAGTAGCAAGGAAATTTCACAGATGGACTTATTGCACAGGTAGCAACCTATCACGGCACCACGCTTGAATTCACGGAGCTCCTGGGAGCGACCCATTCTTTCACAAATGTTTGTAGAAGCGTCTGCATGCCTAGATGCTTGATTTTATACACCTGTGGCCATGGAGGTGATGGGACACCCTCCAAATCATTGGATTCAGGTGTTCCAAATACTTTTGACAATGTAGTGTATATGTTGATGGGTTTTCATTGATTTCAGTATAGAATGTATCGGGAAGAAATCAATCCAAAACACAAAACTGGGACTGGGCCCTTAGAGCTCGTTCTAATAAAAACAGTCAGCACATGATTCCAGATCCATCTCCCATGTTCTACTTTTATTGACTCAAGGCACTAGGACACAAAACCAGACATAACAAACATGCTAATGAGTTTCTGCCGTTGAGGCCTTAATCAAAGCTATGAGCTATGATTAAGGCCTCTTGGACTGAAATGTGTTAGTACGTTTGCTATGTCTGGTTTTATGTTCTGCAGCCTTGAATCAATAAAAGAGAATGTGGCAGATTGATCTGGAATCATGTGCTGACTGTTTTTATTAGATCAAATTGGAGGATCAACTGGAGCCGTGGTTGTGCACCAGTGTTCTGTACAGACATATTGGACAGAGGAGGTAGAGCACTTAACAATTTATGTTCTACATAGAACTTGCTCACGTATATTTACATTGCTTATTGATAAGGAATTTGTTTTTATACCCAGGTACACAGGACTCCTCTGATCTACTTTCCCCCACAAAACGAAGTTCCCAGAAATACATTATTGAAGGGCTGACAGAGAAGTCTTCACAGATTTTGGACCCTTGGGATAGGCTGTTTAAGATTCTTTCTGTAGTTGGAATGAGATGTGAATGGCAGATGGACAAAGGAACAAGGTAATATGGCACACTGAATATAATAATTCCATGTATAGTTAGTATGGTGAGACATGATGAGTTATAAGAATAGGTTTCTGGTAAGCTGTAGTAGTGACTGAAGCCCAGGAAATAAAACTGGGTGTTGGACAGTGTCAGGACAAACACAACTCTGTAAATTATATTTGATTCAATGTATGCTTTTAAGATTTCAACTCTTCACATAGACGGGTGACATAATGATCCTTTATTCACTAAACTCTGTTGCCTTTTATTTTCTTCTGGCTCCCTGGTTTTAATGGAAAGCCCCTCATCTTTTATATTTCATTAAAAAAATGGGTAATTTGTTGTGTTTTGGGGCATTTAATTAAATTTGTCACTAAATTTTGGGGTTTAATAAGGAGTTGCGCTAATATTGCGCAACATAAAAATTTTCAACTACCACCATTTTATTCTATAGGGTCTTGGCATTCAGAAAATATATAATGTTGGGGGGTTTTACGTCATTTTCAGGCCTAAAATGTGGAATATAACATGGGTGCAAAAAATGAAAAAAGGGCCTCAGTCATGAAGGGGTTAATGCCTCTGATTTGTTCATGGATTTTGTCTTCAGATGAATCTGTTTTTCTGCTTTGAGACAAGATTTGTATTCTTTTATTCAGGACATTTAATGATCTGTTTCACCGTGTGAAAGAACTCTGCCGGTACATCAGCAATTTTGATAATGAGGCCCATGCGAAGTATAAGAATCAAGTTGTCTACTCTACTACCCTCATTTTTTTCAAAAGTGTCTGCCATTATATCAGTGCCATTCAGCCATCCCTCTTCCAAGGTGAGTGTGTTTTGTTAAAGGGACACAGAGCACCGCCTACCTTAGTAGCAAAACACTGCCAAACAATTACATTTTCCTGCTTCTAATTATGTTATCTTTTCCAATAACAAAAAAGAAAAAAGTTGGGGGTTTTTAGGCACAAGACAAGTCCAATGAACTCCAAACGAGAAAATTTATATAAAATCTAATTTATTTGAATTCATACAAAGGTTAAAAGCATCAGTTAGTGCATATAGAATATAAAAAAGGACACACAACTACGAGAGAACCTCCTAGCACCCCCTAAGTTCCAAATTAGAGGTTAGATTGCATAATCAAGGATCTATAGACATAATTGGTAGATGAAGATACAATGATTAAACAAATAAATGTCATAAGAATGAAGAGTCCATATTCATAGTAATAAAGAACCTCTAGTGGAACAAAATTACCATTGCAAGTACTGCACCACCACCCACCAATTTTGTTCCACTAGAGGTTCTTTATTACTATGAATATGGACTCTCTATTCTTATGAAATGTATTTGTTTAATCATTGTATCATCTACCAATCATGTCTATGGATCCTTGATTATGCAATCTAACCTCTAATTTGGAACTTAGGGGGTGCTAGGAGGTTCTCTCGTAGTTGTGTGTCCTTTTTTATATTCTATATGCACTAACTGATGCTTTTAACCTTTGTATGAATTCAAATAAATTAGATGTTATATACATTTTCTCGTTTGGAGTTCATTGGACTTGTCTTGTGGTGCCTAAAAAACAAAAACTTTTTTCTTTTTTGTTATTGTTACTTAACCAGGGGTTGGCACCCAGCTATTCAGGATCTGTGCACCATAACCATTATTGTTCTTATGTTATCTGTTCCTTGAAATATTAATTGTTCTGTAAATTTCGATTTGCAACTTATACATTACTCCCAGCACAAAGATTAGTTTTCTGAACAAGCCTATACACCAAGTCAAGCTGTTGCAAGTTTGTCAGTTAATCTTTCAATTCACTTTTCTCCACTGAGGAATACAGAAGCTGACATTGTGTTCTGTAGCTTATAGTACATGTGATGGGGAAATCCATCTGATTGCTTGGAAGCCCCTTTGTGTAAGGCTCACAGCATGGTGTGGTATGGAAAAAAAAAAGTTAAATATTCTCCAGTAGTAAACTACAGGACAGGTCCTATAGAAGGGAATGTATTGTTATACCTCAACTATAATGTTACATTGCCTTTCATTTCCACAAAATGGGACAGCTGTTCCCCAAGTTCAGGGAAGGCAGGCAAATGCACATCGGTCTTTCTCCTTGTGACTAACCAGTGGTTTATTGCAAAGGTACAGCAACGTCCAAAGCTAATTGGCTGACACGCTAATAAAAAAAATAAAATACATTGGTACCTCTGTTCACGAACGCTTCTGTTCGCGAATAGGAAGTTCTGCTAAATTTTTCTTCCGTTGACAAACTCTGCATCAAGTGACGAACACAACCACAGCCATCTTCCCTGCTCTGACACATGAGCCTGGCTTTCGCTAGTCGAGATTGCGGTCTGATCACAGTTTCGATTCGGTTTGCGACCAGGATCGTGGAACAAGTTAAGTTTGTGAACCGAGGTACCACTGTGTGTGTGATATATATATATATATATATATATATATGTGTGTGTATATATATACATACACACACACACACACACACACACACAAACACACAGTTTTCGGTGCCATTGGTTATGACATTAGTCAGTCATAATATAGTCTTTTTTCAGTTGCATTGTTGGTGTCCAAATGTTCCTTGTTAAATGGAATGTCTTTTCTTCCAAAGGACCAAACACTCCAAGCCAAGTACCCATTGTCCTCCTAGAAGACATTCCAAATGTTTTCAGTGAAGTTGAAGTCGGTTCTGGCAAGCACATTCACAAAAGAAGGAAACTTGCAGAGAGCAGAGAAAAGACAATGGTATTTCTTGCAGATATGTATATAGATAACTCAGCAACATAACAGATATTCACAGAAAACATCCATTTAGGTAGCAATTTGCTACTTTGCTTATATAATATCACGTTATAGGCTTAATTCACTAAACTTTTTGGGGTCATGACCGCAAATCAGGAGCAAAGTAAATGAGCGTGTGGCCTACTACAGCTTCTTGTATTTTAATTCTGATTATCCAGGATGCTCAGTGTGTTACTATTAGCTGTTTATATGGATATGTAATAGGGATATCACAGTAGGCTCGTGGGAAGGGACGGTTATAAAAAAACATTTTTTTTTAAATAGCATTTTATATTGCGGAGGGTGGACGTCTAAGCAGGGAGCTAAAGTGGACCTGGGCAGCTTTAATGAACAACTATTAATAAAAGGTACTTATTCAGTATGACGGTTTCTGAAAACAGATAACAGTAACACACTGAGCATCCTGGATCAGCAGAATTAAAGCTGTAGCAGGCCACACACATTTACTTTGCTCCTGATTTGCGGTCACGACCCTAAAAATGTTAGTGAATTAAGCCTATAACTGCAGGATCAGGGCACAGAGCAGCTGGTGGCGAGTCTGGCCCTGCATCATAAGGGGGGTGGCTGTAGAATCATGAAAAGACTACCAGCTCCTGATGACATCAGAGAAGTAGACAGCGGTCATGGGAGATGGATTGGGACGCTGGATTTGCTGGGTAGATGAGTATGTTTTCTGGTGCGAATCCAGCATAACAGGTAAGAGGGGATAGGGAATAAAAAGTGGGTAAAGTGACAATAAACTCAGAAGTAAAATTTAAAAAAAACTGCATTCAAATACCTTAAATATTAACAAAAATGTAACTTATTTGAGGATCTACAGCTGACTGATACACAAATAAGATACATTTTTGTTATAAGGTAAGGTACTTTGTTAAAGTGGAACTTTTTTATTTACCTATAAAATATATTAATAATATATATTTGCAGTAAGTTTCAATAGTAATATTTGCAGAAATCCGTTTTCTTTATACATTTTACAATTACTAAAAAGTTTAGCTCTGAGAAGTTTCCTCTGCTCTTTGCACTGACGTGTAAAAGAACACCTTTTGTTGTTGTGTACCCTTGGAAAGGTGTTACTTGGTCATTATGTGATGGTCTGTTTTTCTTATAAATTCAGTGCATACATCTTTAATGTAAATTCACAGAGCTCGGATGATGAAGATCTGTCTGGGAAAAGTCGAAGTCGCCCTATTGTTAATAAAAGTGATCTTCCTAACCATAATGAAGTACTTGAAAGCTTTAAAATGGCAAGAGAATGTTGGGACCTCCTTCATTCTTCAGATGCCTTTGACAAAGGTACGTAACTCCTTCAGTTTTTGTATAGTATTTGTCTTTTTAGTACGTGCCTACTAAAGCATAAGTGCATCTTTAACCACTTGAAGACCAGGGTGTTAAACCCCCTTCCTGGCCAGGCCATTTATCAATATTCAGTGATGAGGTACCTTGGCTGACATTTATTCAGTGATACAACGCTGTACTGAAATGAATTGTATTTTTTTTGGAACAGACAGAGCTTTCTTTCGGTAGTATTTAATCACCACTGGGGTTTTTTATTTGTTACTATATAAAAGAAAAGGTGCTAAAAAGTTTGAAAAAAAAGTTTCCCCTACTTATATTGCAAATAAATAATCTTTCTTCATACATTTAGGCCAAAATGTATTCTGCTACATTTCTTTGGTCACATCGGGTACATAGATACCAAACATGTCACGTGTTTCAGTTTGTATGTGCGTGTACATGGGGGGTGGGGGGACCCATTTTCTTTATATGTAACTTTATTTTTTTTACTTTTTGCATTTTTGTTTATTTTACACCTAACTTTATCACATAGGGAGCTGATAAGCCTTCTATGTGATAGCACAGATACAGTGACAGGGTCTATTTATGGAGATATCAGGGGTCTATTAGACCCCTAATGTCACCTAGGAACCCCCAAGAATTTAAAGAAGCAGAGATCTTATTCTTCTCCGGCTACAGCAGCCAGAGAAATGACACACTGAAACCAGAAATGATGTAATACTGGTTGCCACTGGAAGTGTGTTGATCTTCCTCTGATCAAGGTACCAGTCCCAAGCTTGCACAGGGGACAGATGAGCCCAGGATAGCTGGCAGCGTTAGGGGCCTATAGCCGCCTGAGCAGTTGTATGCAACAGCCCTCGCCGGCTGTTTAAAGTTTATCTAAAGGCTTGAGTGTTTCTTATTGCATTCTCTGCATTAAGGCAAAAAACATCCAGAACATTTCTAAACCCCCTGTCCCCTCAACACTTACCTGCAGCCGCTTGTGTCCTCCGCTGCGACCGGAAAGATACCCTGGGTTCCCTGAACTTCCTGGTTGTGGGGAAGGGTACTGAGGGCAGAGGAGCCTTAGGCTCCTTCTGCCATCAGTCACACTGTGACCAAGAGTGGGGGCCTGGCTGGTCACACACTGTGTGTGTCTATAGATGCACACAGCTAAATGAGGGCATGGCTGTGAGCGTGCACGCACAAGTGCCTCCACAGCAGCCGGCTAGCTGATGGAGGCGCCCATACGGGGAGTGGGGCTAGGGGTTTGGATACCACTAGAGAACGAGGAAATAAAAAAAAAGTTGTTTAAAGTAAGTCTGACCTCCATAAAAAAAGTTTAAAAACACCCCGAAGGTTTAATATCACTTTAAAATGTTCAAAATTTCCTGCTCGCACGCTAGCTAAGCTCGCAGCTAAGGACGTTTCTAAACAATCACCCACCCGCCGCCAAGAGTGAGCCGTCCGGCTGTTTAATTATAACTGCCGGACGGCAAGTGGTTAATTGCAAACATTCAATGTCATTGTAAGTTAATTTATATCCACTTGATCACTAATAGTAATTTATTACTTTAATTGTAAGAAGAAGTTTTGGGTTCATTTCAGTTCATTTGTTTCTAATGTATGCATTTAAAAAAAAAAAACATTTTATGACGATGTGCCTTTTGGTACATACTCGCCAACATTCCTAAAGCTGTGTGGTGCCTTTACACAATGCAGTTTAAGCTTGTTTTTAAAAGTAACAAGGTTTTCACTTAACTACTGCAGAAAACATGTACAGTGTAATCCTTTGTTTACTTGTTCTGTTAGAGTTCTCCAGAATTTGCTTACCATGGAAGACAGACACCTGGCTGTGGTTAAGGATCTTCCTCACAGATATGGTTATTTATCAGGTAGGTGATTTCATTCTGAAGCAAGAATAGACCTATTTCTAGGCACCGGAGAATCCAGTATGACCAACAGTGAAGGATGCACCCCAGATGTATTTGTCTCTTGAATTATTCTATATAGGGGCAACATAAGAAAGCCATCAACAGTCTTCACCTCTTGGCAGCTCTGCAGGGACCTCACTCACCATCACAGCAGATCTTGAGTCAAGGAAGCCTGGAACAGCAGAGGTCACTAATCCAGCTCTCTGCTTGCCATTTTGCCCTTGGTGAATATAAGGTAGATGCTCATTTCTCATTGTCTTTTTTTAATATGAAGTTTTCCCCTGAATAGTACTATTAAATCTGTTTTTGACTTCTAAGCAGTTTACATTACAGACCTATTAGGTGGACTCTTACTCATTTGTAACAATAAAGCTGACGTTTAGTCTGCTCATATTTTGCCTTATCTGGTTCTTTCTTTTACTCCCTAAGTAGCATGATAATTACATTTTTAAATTAGACTTTTCCATTCAAACCCGTGAGGTTGTTACCTGGTCTCTATGCTTGTCTGTGGAATGCAGATAGATCATGGCTGGTGGGAGGGGCCAGCCGGATGCTATACATAGCTTCCTGAAAATATCACAACACCCTATCTCAGTACTTCTCTTAAGAGCCCTCAGCCCAGTGGGTTGGCTCTTGGGAAGTGTAGTGCAAATATTGAAAGGATGGGGGGGGACGGGACCGATCGGCACCCCATACACGCGATCCGCCGGCTCTACAGCCGGCGGATCGCTTGTATGGTGACAGGCATCGCTGCCTGTTTTTAAATTTCGGCCATTTCCCACTCGCGCGCGCCCCCTCAGATCTAGAGAGCTCGGGCCGGCCGTTTTTTTACTACGGCCGGCCCGGAGGTGGTTAATGGGAGGGTGTCAGTGTTCCTAGGCAGGCTGCATTTGTTCTAGGTAATACTCACATGTGATGGTGAGCCTGATTGAAAGAACTAAAATAAAATGAATGACTGGGAAAGACCAGGAACAGTAAGGCTGAGGAGGCAAGGACTAGGTGATACTGGGTTGTACTCCAGCCAGAAAATGAGGTGAGCTCTATCTGACTTGCTTCAGTTTCTAATGCAACCTGTGAGAACCTTGGTGTGCTGTGAAATCAGGGTATGCCATTTCAGTACAGGAGAGGAGCATCTACAACTGTGCAAGACTGAAGGTAAGGCTGCATTTCGGCTTTAACGCTACTGTTCCACTACCCAAGTAAAATAATGGCATTCTGGGATATATGGCTGTATGTGGTTTCTGTAGATGTCAGATATAGATGTCAACTCACTGTTGCTTGAATCTTTCCAGCAGACTAAACTTTCTTATTCTTTCCACAGCTCACATGTGAGAAGGTTTTGGAACTGATGAATTTCATTGTGCCCCCACCTCAGGAGACTTCTAAACCAAGAGAGGAACAGTCCAAAGTCAAACCTAAATTTAGAAAAGGTTTGTATGCACGTGTTCATATTTTCAACCCCTTTTTACATGTGTAGTGTGCTGCGGTGCATTATCACATGCATGCTAACCTTCTGTCATTTACACCTGAACCTGCATTGTGTTAAAGGAGAACTATGGGGTCAGTGCTTTTCCCCATAGTTCTCCAAAGGGTAACGGGAGGACACAAACTAGCGTCCTCCCGTCACCCAAAGCTCAGTATACCGCGAGCTACAGCTCGCGGCATACATAGTTACATAGTATTTGAGGTTGAATAAAGACACATGTCCATCAAGTCCAACCTATTGTGTGTGTGTGTGTGTGTGTGTAAAGATCCCCGAGTCATCTCGTTTTTAGGAGTACTTGTACCCCTGTATATTACCGTTTCTCAGGAAATCGTCCAAAAGCTTCTTGAACGATTCCACACTATTAGCTGAAATCACTGCTTGTGGCAACGAGTTCCAGACCCTAACCGCGCGAACTGAGAAGAACCCCCTTCGCCCCTTGTGTTTGAATTTTTTTTCTACCAGTTTCAGGTGGTGTCCTCTAGTCTTTGTTACGGAATTAATCTTGAAGAGTTTGTTGCTAATGTCGCTATGACTATAGAACATTTTGTACATGAAAATCATGTCCCCCCTTAATCTCCTTAGTTCCAGCGTGAACATATTTAAATTTAGTAACCGTGTCTCATAGCTCTGGTCCTCCATCCCTTTGATGAGTTTGGTCGCCCTTCGCTGGACTTTCTCCAGTTCAAGGACATCCCCTCTGTGTACCGGTGCCCAAAACTGCACCGCATACTCCAGGTGAGGCCGAACCATTGATGTGTAGAGTGGCAAAATTATAGACTTATCCCTGCAAAACATTCCCTTCTTGATGCAGGACAGGACTCTACTAGCTTTGCTCACCGCAACCTGGCACTGTAATCTATTATTGAGTTTATGGTCTACAGTGACCCCCAAATCTTTCTCCATTTCAGACTTCCCTAGCAGCATACCCATTATTGTATAACCCATTTGCTTGTTTTTTAACCCAAAGTGCATAACCTTGCATTTATCCACATTAAACCTCATCTGCCATAAAGTTGCTCACTCCCCTATTCTATCCAGGTCCTCTTGTAATGTTATACTATCTTGGTTTGTTTCTATAACCCTCCCAATTTTGGTATCGTCAGCAAACACTGAGATATCGCTGTGTAATCCGTCCCCGAGACGGAGACGCAGCAGCCGAAACGGATCCCGACAATTATGTCTGGATCCACCCAGCTGTCTGAGTGACAGCTGGCTCTGCCTATTTAGAGGCAGAGCCAGCTGTACCTACCCCCTCCGTCAGTCAGCGCTGGAGGATCGGACAGGGGCGGGGGGGGGGGGGGAGCC